TTTGATAACAATGCATTTCTCATGAGATGGTTGCCATAGATGCACTTGACTTGAAAACACCATATGCATGCTTTTAATATCCACAGAACTAAAATTATTAACCACTATTTCAGAAAATTATAATTATTTGATAAAATAAATGAGGTCATTCCATGGCATTGTTCGGACGAAGCGTTGAAGGGACAGAGGTCAGTATCATGAAAACAAAAGTAAAAGAAATCTTTGAGAATTCTAAAGTCAATCTGCCGTAGTGGGTATCGAGTTCTAGATTCTAACAATCGAATGTCACACACAACGTCGAGAGAAAAAGATATTGCTGAGATATCACTAGATTTGAATAAATATACACGGTTTAACTTTCTTTGCCTCTCACACAAACTGATGACAACTCAGAAGCAAAATATGCCAATATGTTTGCAAATACACTAGAAGGTTAATAAACTAAAGCGGGTGTTACAGTTGCACAAAACAAGACACTGCCGGATTAACTGTCGAGATCAACCCATGACAGTATTTGTTTCAGACTGACATCAACCACATATTGTTTAACATCAAGAAAACAACCTATTTGGACATATACCACTATCGTATCCAAACACATTCTGATGCTAAAACTATGGTCCTTTTTAAATTAAGATGTGTGTGTGCGTGATTGTGTGAGTGACTGTGTGTGTGTGTGTGTGTGTGTGTGTGTGTGTGTGTGTGTGTGTAAGAGCGTGTGTGTGTGCGTGCGTGCGGGCGCATGTGTGGGTGTGGAGGCTCTGGGAGCGGGTAGTGTTAAAGCGTTCGCTCGTCATGCCGAAGACCCGGGTTCGATGTCCCACATGGGTGCAATGTGTGAAGCCCATTTCTGGTGTCCCCTGCCGTGATATTGCTGGAATATTGCTAAAAGTGACGTAAAACAATACTCACTCACTCACTGATGCTAAACTAGGGTCCTTTTTTAAAAGGGGATGTGTGTGGCTGCATGCGTGCGCGCGCGTGTGTGGGTGTGGAGGCTGTGGGAGGGGGTAGAGGATCCATAAGTATCATACAGTTATCGCTTTCATTGATGTCCATGAATTGGCCCAGGTAAGAGAAGGTTCTACTAAGGAAGTATTGTTGTCTTGTGCCTCCTGTCTTTTTGTATATAGATGGTATTATATTGAAGCTTTAGCATTCAATGTCATCACCAAGCTAGTATATTTTGTAAGTTATGAATTGGTCTTATTCTCGGTATCGTATTTGACTCATGGCTCAATAACATATCAACGAAAAGCATAAAGGAAGTTCTGTAAAAACGCCTGATGTCAACATTGCATCATTCGATTGAATATGGCCACGAACACGCCACGCATTATTTCCAACGTCCGTATATTCTCCAAACATCGTGATTTCTTTACTCACTGACTGTATTACTTCAGCGCGATGGTTTCTCCAACCCAGTTAGTTCTGTATCCTGTCGGTATTTCTCCTTGTGACTGATTACATATCGGTCATAGCACTGACGGATAGGCAGACAATAGGCCCACTCAGACAAAAAGCCCTCTGACAAAAAACCCTCGGCTAAATGCCCCCATGACAAAAATCCCTTGGAAACTTTCACTCATAGGATAAAACACCCTCGGTGTATATTTTGAGTTGACAGGTGATAACATGATGTTTTCTAAGCAATTCCTCCCACTGCTGACAGTGGTTACAGGTAAGTAGCATATGTGAAAACCATATGCTCCCAGGCTCCTCAGTGATCATGTTGTTATTTTAACAATGGAATGAAGTCTGTTTAATGTTGTTTCAGAGAATTGGCTTAAATTGGCCACTTGCTCCTATGTTTGATTTTATTGGACAGGGCAGTGAGCATGGTGTTTATTAAGACGGTTTTTAAATGTTGTTACTGAGACACGTTATAAAATTAAAACGTTAGAAATGTTTAAAACGAAAGGGTTTTTCGTCATGGGTCATTTAGCCTAGGGGTGTTTTGTCTGGGGTCTTTTTGTCTGAGAGGGCCTATTATCCTGTCGAGATCAAGTTCAAGGAGACTGTACCTATTTTGTCAGCGATCATGAGATAAGAATATATGGAGATCACCACGAATGAATAGAAGTCTGACCTTGTACGCCAACAATACTTTCGTCCTCAATAACTCACGTGATTCACAAAGATATAGTATTATATTCAACACGGAAGACAGTTCCGCAAGAACGTATTGTAATTAATACAGATTTATGAGAAACAAGCCAAAACTACCGCTTTGTATTTCACAGTAACGCTGAGGTCTTGACCACGGGGACCAAAAGCAAGTGTGACGTGGGCAGCTTATAATTTTCGTGACAATTCTTAAACAGGAACTTAATATGAAAAGTACAATATTGGGAGAAATGAATTACTCTGCCTACGTCATTGCATGTGTTGGGATATAAATACGTGTTCGGTGTTTTCCGAACACAAATCAACTTCTCTGTTGTGGTCCTGTTTCCAAACGCTAGCAAATAAACTATTTTGATCTTGTCTAGTGTTCGATGTCATCGGCATATTTTTATTTGTTGTTTATCAGAGGAAATGCTCAAGGACAGGCCAGAACACCGGATTGTGCCTTCAGATGTACAAAACATTGAGCTTGTAGACATATTATGCATGTGTTGCCGGAAGTGGTCGTGGTGGTAGACATAACACAATATAGAACTACAGAGAATATGCTTGTGTTGCCGGAAGAGGTCGTGGTGGTAGACATAACACAATATATAACTACAGAGAATATGCTTGTGTTGCCGGAAGAGGTCGTGGCGGTAGACATAACAATATAGAACTACAGAGAATATGCTTGTGTTGCCGGAAGAGGTTGTGGCGGTAGACACACAATATAGAACTACAGAGAATATGCTTGTGTTGCCGGAAGAGGTTGTGGCGGTAGACATAACACAATATAGAACTTCAGAGAATATGCTTGTGTTGCCGGAAGTGGTCATGTCGGTAGAACACAATATATAACTACAGAGAATATGCTTGTGTTGCCGGAAGAGGTTGTGTCGGTAGACATAACACAATATATAACTACAGAGAATATGCTTGTGTTGCCGGAAGTGTTCATGTCGGTAGACATAACACAATATAGAACTTCAGAGAATATGCTTGTGTTGCCGGAAGTGGTCATGTCGGTAGACATAACACAATATATAACTACAGAGAATATGCTTGTGAGTGAGTGGCAGAGTTTAAGTTTTACGCCGAACTCAGCAATATTGCAGGTATATGGCGGCGGCAATATATATGAAATATTGCTCTCTATCTGTACAACCTAATTACCGTTCTTTTAAAATGCCCATCTGTCTCACTGAAGTCACATGTGCTTGCAGTGTCATGAACAATGCACTATTCGTATATTTCAGATGGGGTTTCAATTCTGCGCACCAAGTAAGAAATCTGCATCAATGACATAGACCCTAAATTATCCGTTGACATCAATCTTGTACATCGTTGTTTTGAGACTTATTATTTCAATTGGCAGAACCAAATATACCAGCAAATACATGGCTTACCCATTGGCTCTCCTCTGTCACCTCTCATAACAGAGATCTACATGACTAACTTTGAAGAAGCTGCTCTCTCCACCTCCCCCATCAAACCCTTATGCTGGTACTGGAAGGTTGATGACACATTCACTATCCTGGAAAAGAGTCACGACCCCTCCATCCTGCTTGACCATCTGAACAAACAACACTAGCGTATCCAGTTCACCATTGAGACTGAGAAACTTCATCAGCCCCCTTTCCTAGACATCACCATCCAGAACTCCAACAATCAGCTCATCACTTCTGTCTACCGTAAGCCAACCCATACTGACCAATACATCCACCACCACTCCAACCACCATCCCCAGATCAAGACAGCCATCGTGTCTACGCTTGCAAGACGTGCCAAGAACATCTGCAGTCCCTAAAATCTACAACAAGAATTAGCTCACCTCAAATCTACCTTCATCACCCTCAATGGCTACCCGAGACACCTAGTAGAAACCACCATCAAGAAGACGTTAGAACATCAAGATCAACCACTTACTAAGCCTGAACCATCCCCTATTTGCACAAATATTCCCTATGTTGGATCCATCAGTCATCACATCAGTAGACTTCTAAAGTAAACTGCCAGCATTGACACTACCTTCTCTTCTGGCAAAACCCTCAAATCTTTAATAAAGCCAGTGGTAAAGGAAGCTGTGAAACTACCCCTAACCCAAGAGGATGTGTGTACAAACTGAAATGTACATGTGGCAGCACCTACATAGATGAAACAGGCAGGCCTGTATGTACTCGTATGAAAGAGCACAAATCATCGGTGAAAAACTCGGGCATGAAATCAGCGTTATCAGAACATGTCATCAGAAATCCCAGCCATACCATCAATTGGGATGACACTGACATTTTGGCCGTCAACATCAGCAATTGGCGTAAAAAGGAAATTGATGGAGGCCATCTGGATCCACCGCACCAAACCTGAAATCAACAGGGATCAGGGTGTTTTTCTACCGCATGCATGGTGCATAGATTAATGCTTTCAGTGTACATGATTTCCCTTGTTCCCCTAATCACTGTACATCGTTGTTTTGATGTGTGTTTTCATGCTTGCAAAGTGTTTTCCTATCCTATCATGTATACCCAATCCTTGTTTTCATAAGTGGCTTCCAATCAATGTATACCCAATCCTATCATGTATATCCAATCCTTTACACTGTATAAACATTCTGTACGTCCTTTGCATTAACATCTCTTTGAACTCTGTACATCTCATCTAAACACATCACTTAATCTCTGTACATCTCTATCTGTAATACTATCTCACTGGCTTCTTGTACATACTATATATTTTGCTTGTATCATATTCTGTCATTCACCTGATGAAGGGGCAAGAAGTAGCCCAGAAACGTCGTGTTGTAAATATTAAAGAAGTTGTAAATCCATACCATACGTTGTTGTGTTCATCATGAAGGTTATCCTCCTTGTATAAACGAGCAACGCCTATTAAAGTCCAGTATATATATCTTTTATTGAAGTATATTTCAGTTAGTGGATAGCATGACAGCGTTTATTCAATGTTTCATTCAATTCTGTTTTACGTATTTAACAATGACGAGCAGCCGATATGATCAACTACAAACTTCCTGGTCTTAGATCCTGACTGGACGACCTCTCCCGACCAAACGCTTTAGGGCTGTTAAACAACGTCATGCACGTCTCACCTTCCAACACCCCCGTCGGGGAACAGATCCAGGGGTCGTTGGTGACGTTCAGCCAGGTGAGTAACGTTGTCTGCATCTTGGTGAACACATCCGAGTGCTCAGAAGTATAAGCCAGGTTGTTCAGCTCCATAGGGTCACTCTCAATGTTGAACAGTTCCCACTGGTCCCTGTAGTAGTAGTGTTCCAGATCTTTGAACCACCCTGTTTTCAGCCCAGCCATAGTCTTGTTGATGATCTCCAGGTAGGAAGGGGCCTGGTAGCAATCACGGGCTATTGGGTACGGAGCCTCGAAGTTTAAGTTGTGGATGAGTTTCCACGTCATGGTGCGGAGGACCCTCATGGGATAGTACATGGTGACTTCGTGTAGATCGTGACTCGAGAAGACGTAGGTGAAGTTCTCAGCCGTGGTGTCGGGGTTGGCAGTCACTGGGAGGAGGGACTTGCCGGTCAGCTGCACCTTCTTGCCGAGCATGTTGTACTGAGGGTAGTTCACACCGAACCAGTCCAGTATGGTAGGCGTAAAGTCCATAGTGCTACCGAGGGCGTCAGATACCTTCAAGTAAATATTCAAACAGGTCACAGATCTATCTTTGCTGACACGTTTGCATTCTGTGTAGTATGCTTGAGGCTATAATGAGTGACTCATTGGTGATAAGCAATCTTTCTGTAACCCACAGACCATTATCATCACCATGCTAACATTTGCATTGCGCCGATATCCAGCTCAGCTGCTCAAAGGCGCTTTGTTTTTTCCTCGATCACTGGATGTCAATATCAACGGCACGTTGTATTATCAATCTCTATTCCCTGGGGATCATACAACTCTTGCAGCCACTAGGCGCACCGAATTAGTGTGGCTTTCCCATCCTTACGAGGTACCCATTCACAACTGGATGGACCGGGACACATAGTCACATTACTTTGTCCAAGTGCACAGCACGTCGCTGTACCCGCAACTAGGTGTTTGCATGTATTCATGTGGCCACAATCTGGTCATTTACCAACGGACTTGTGGGTTCTTTTAAGTGCACAGATTTGTGTACTGTACACTAGGGGCTGTGACAACACTGAAAGAGTCTGCACACAAAGTTGACTCCAAGGTTTTTACTCCCGGTCACAGCTCGCTGGATCAGTAGCCTTCCGCCTTACACAGTTCGCCAACCACGCCCACCCCAGCTAATAACCAGTTGTGCTTAACCGACTTACTGTGCCCCAGGACTCCCTGTGTAGAGGCGAGGAGGACCCTATTGACCACCCCACCTAATGACCAGGGGTTCTTAGCCGACTTACAGTGCCCCAGCACTCCCTGTGTAGAGGCGAGGAGGACCCTATTGACCACCCCACCTAATGACCAGGGGTTCTTAGCCGACTTACAGTGCCCCAGCACTCCCTGTGTAGAGGCGAAGAGATTCCTATTGACCACCCCACCTAATGACCAGGGGTTCTTAGCCGACTTACAGTGCCCCAGGACTCCTTGTGTAGAGGCGAGGAGATCATCATTGGCTCGCCCATCCCCGGGTCATACAGATTGGTCTTGGCGCCAGGGAAGGGAATGCCGTTGTCAGCCGTGTAGAGGATGAGAGTGTCGTTCATGTGACCTGCTGCTTCCAACTCGCTCAAGAACAACCCAATACCTGACATAAGACGAATGGGTTTTTTATGAGCTGAGGCATGTTAAAGGTTGTTCATCCTGGTTCTGAACGACCATACATACAATATGGGCAGATGAACTTGTCAAAGTCTGCATGCAGTGGTCACACACAACGTCTACACAAACAGCGATGAAATGTGTGCAGAAGAAATGACTAAAGTAGCTGGAATACGGATTACATTCCTTACCAAAAATATGTTTGTATCATACACATAGCAACGCACCGTTGTTAATTGTTTAATGTTGTCAACGGAGAATTAATGAGAAAGAGTTGAAGCGACTTTATCTAAACTCATTCTTGTCAACCGTCCATTCTACAGCAAAATCGTAAAATTCAATTTCACTATACTTTTCAGTGGATATGTGTTATACCTTAACACCAGACTATCTACAGACACACCTTGGTCCATCCTTCTGTACGTGGTGTACATAATCTGTTACTGTACATCTGTCTACATACACACCTTGGTCCACCCTACTGTACTTGGTGTACAGTCACATCTACTGTACATCTATCTATATAGGTACCTTGATCCATCCTACTGTACGTCGTGTACATATTAGCCAGGTCCTGCCTGGTGGTCAGCGTGTCCGGCAGGAAGTAGGGGACCTCAACATCTTCAGGCTTGTAGTAAGACGGTGTCCAGTCAGGGATGACCCCCATGCCAGGCTGCCTGTTCCCAAATCTCTCACAGAACTGCCCGTACAGGGGAATGTTGTTACATCGGTGTGGGTCGTGAAACGCCAGATACAGGAAAAAAGGCCTTTTATAAAAAATATCAAACACTGTAATATCTAAAAACCTTGAGGCCAAGGATGTCATGTATTTTATCATCCAAACCTTGCTTCCATTGGTGAGAGTGATTTTCCCCGGGAGAGAGTAATATCTGATAGGATATAGGCATGCATCACAATGTCTGACGTCAGCGGTTACCATAGTGCCACAATGAAATAATATAAAGTTGGTTACACCAATGGCCACCAAAAAAACACAAAAAAACAAGAGAGTCTTTTCTGTTTCTAAACTGAAAAAGTCGGAAGATTGGTTTTGGAAATTAAACAGTATTTCACATATGAGTTTGCAATGAAGAGAGAAATGCTTAATTGTTTTGATAGTAAGGAAAAATGACCTTTCTACAGGATTTTCTTTTTATGCTGAGAAAAATACATCTCTAGTGTCGTTGGACTGTGGTAGTCTGGCGTTAGAAGTATGTCATCAAATAATGATGTCAGTTAATGACAACAGATTGTAGGCTGGTTATTCAAAGTTACAATACAATGGATATTTATAAGGTATTCTCTAGCTGGTTTTCCGCAGTTTGTTTTGCCAACTTTCCCTGTATGACGTGGACCTGCAAGAACATATCCCATCAAGAAGAACAAAGTGTTTTACTCTTTATCATCATCACCATAATCACCATCATCAACATCGCACCTGTCATCCTTCTGCTGGAGGAACTGTCTCACGAAGTTCCTCATGAAGGTGATGTTCCTCCCAATCTCGTTCGGGTCATGGTTCTCCTCTGTCTGTTCATAGTCAAACTTGTACACTGTGTCCGGCCCCACGTGCTTCTTCCCAATGATACCTTAAATGTAGGTATACATCTACATACTCAGGATATGCCTCTGGTACACATGTACCTATTTATAGACAAGAACAGTGGTAAGTGAACGTCCAGTAATCTACTCACCCGTGCGTATTCCAGCTTTGTCAAGTATGACAGGTAAACTCTTGACACTGTCCATGGTGCTGAAGTGATGGGGCTCGTGTACAAGTCCGTACATGCCGTTCTGATGTTGGGGCAACCCTGTTAGGAGCACGGATCTGAGGACATACGTGTGTATGTGTGAACCTAGTATCTATAGTGACTCAACCCCAAATTACTAGAATCAGTACTTAACTGATAAAGTGCAACTCCAAATATATAACATTTCAAAGCGTGACTACTGTAAAGGACGTGTGTGCAAAGCTTCCGCCACCGGAGCCGTGCCATTTTATACTTGGTAATGGGGTACACAAGAAAATGTGATCTTGACTCCCACTGTGGCTGAGTCGGTTCGATCTCTTACTTTGTGTGCTGGCGATTAGGTGCCGTACTCTGATAGTGTGAGCCGTGAATCCGGGTTAGAATTGGTCTTAGCAACCCATGCTTGTCGTAAGAAGCAACTAACGGGATCGGGTGGTCAGGCTAGCTGACTTGGTTGACACACGTCATCATATCCCAAATGCGTAGATCGATGCTCATGCTGTTGATCCCTGGATTGTCTGGTCCAGACTCGCCATTTTGATGGAATATTGCTCAGTGCGGCGTTAAGCAACAATGGGACTCAATATAAAGAATATGCATATTACATTTCATACACCACATTCTTGAAGGTATTGTATGTTCATATCCAGGCAACAGTCCAACTGTTTTACGACCAAGACTAAACAGCTTCACATTGGCGGATCCAGAGAGAGGGGTAGGGGGTCAGGGTCCCCCCCTTCTTTGTAAATGACTTAAGACCACATTGCGGGTTCAGTGGGTTCGTGTTACACGCAAGTGCAAAGCGCCCTACAGCAGACTTCAGACGAGGAAATGGTTACACAGATATTGTCTTGCTGGCAACACATTATTGGTTGAGTCTCCTGATGTCACCTTACCTGCTGGGAGAACAGCTACTGACGGAGGTGTAGCCATGTTTGAAGACTACACTCCTGGCGGCCAGCTTGTCGAAGTTTGGCGTCTTGCAGGCCGTGTTGTTGTAGGCGCCCATCTGGAATCCGGCATCGTCACCTGGGGCACCGGTCAGTTATTACAGGGTGGCTGGGGCTTAGGGTTTTAATACACTTCTGTACTAAATACCTGACGTATATTCACATCCCCCAACCCATGCCCTTGTAATGGTCAGACAATCCTTCAACACAAAATGCAAAAGTACTTTATATCATGAAATGTTTATCTTCATTTATCAATGACCATCGCCAACTATGTGTCTTATTTTCTTGAATACCTTCTCCTGGAGAATGGAATGTTTCTTTAGTAACACCACATAAAATGCTCGTGCTGGGTAATAAATAGAAATGATTATTATTCTATATTCGATTTAATCCACTCATCACAGCAATTCTTCATTGAAAGTACATCTCTGTACAGCATCTTCCCAGAGTGTGTATCCATAAAGTATTAAACTTTTCCAGAGTGTGTTTGTGAGTATGTCTGTGTGCGTGTATCTGTGTATATGTATGTCTGTATGTCTGTGTGACTGTGTGTATCTGTGTCTATGTTTGTCTGTATGTCTGTGTGCGTGTATCTGTGTATATGTATGTCAGTGTGCCTGTGTGCGTGAATATGTATGTCTGTGTGTCTGTGTGCGTGTATCTGTGTATATGTATGTCTGTATGTCTGTGTGTCTGTGTGCGTGTATCTGTGCATATATATGTCTGTATGTCTGTGTGACTGTGTGTATCTGTGTCTATGTTTGTCTGTATGTCTGTGTGCGTGTATCTGTGTATATGTATGTCTGTGTGTCTGTGTGCGTGTGTCTGTGTGTCTGTGTGCGTGTATCTGTGTATATGTATGTCTGTATGTGTCTGTGTGCGTGTATCTGTGTATATGTATGTCTGTATGTCTGTGTCTGTGTGTCTGTGTGCGTGTATCTGTGTATATATATGTCTGTGTGTCTGTTTGAGTGTATGTGTGTATATGTATGTCTGTGTGTCTGTGTGCGTGTATCTGTGTGTCTGTGTCTACGTATGTCTGTGTGTCTGTGTTCGTGCGTGCGTACCACGCAGACGGTAGTTTTTTGTCAAACTCACATACAAGTTCGGACAATCTCTACCTCCTCAATTAATGCGTCAATATATCCTCGTAGCTTGTAGGGCAATGACACCTAATTACAAACAGCCATCCATGCAACACCATGCCCTACAATGTGTTCGGTCCGTGGCGTACACACCTCCTTGTATGTTAAAGGTGTAATCTGATCCAAGGACACAACACCCCCAACAGGAACACAGCCCACCCCGGGTGTATTTACCAATCAACGTGTACTCACCAAATATAAGGAGGACATTTCTCTTAGACTCGCTGACGGTGACAATGGCGAGCAGTAAGCAAATTATAAGTAGCGTCATATGTAGAGCTCCCATCCCTGACATCCCTCTGACTCAGGTATCTGGTGATCTGGTTCTGTATGGTTATCACAGAGGCATATGAAACATGAAGGTCGAGCAGCGTGATACACACTATCCACTCCTACAGGCATCTCAAGGCCAGGTCATGACGTACATGCACCCACGACTATCACTTGAAGGGTGAATGACCTGTTTAGAATAGTTTTTTATTTGTTGACAGTCGTTACTCCTTAGTTAGACAACTGTATTTCTGTAGGTTATATATGTTATGATAAGATATTTATATAGCGCACGTATTCACGCTACTAGTACATGCTTAATGCGCTTGAGTGTTCCCTTGATCAACGGATCAACTCAACTCCCTGATGAGTATCCAACTCATGCAGCCTCCTCCTCACAAGGTACCCATTTACAGCTGGGTGAACTGGGACACATAGTCACAGTATTTTGTCCAATGATACTGCACGTTACTATACCCGCAATTAGGAGTCTGCACGTGTTCGTGTGTCCACCATTTGATCACCACCCATCGGGTGAGTGGGTTCTTGTAAGAGCACAGGGTTGTGTACTGCACACTAGGGGTTGTGACAACACTGAAAGAGCTTGCAAGTAATGTTAGCTCCAAGGTTTTTACACCCGGTCACAAGTGGGGATCGATCCAGGCACCTTTCGTATTTTTTGCACTATTGCGCAACCTTTTGTGTGAATCTCAGTGTAAAACTACACATAAAAAGTAAGTGTAAAACGGAATACGCGGAATATCTTTCAGTAGCCAGGATCTAGCGTACCTTTATTGGGAGTTGCCTTCAAGAAGTTTTCAAAATCGTTATAATTTGTTATCCTTCTTTTTTGTTATATCCTTTTTTCCATATTATTTGTAGTAATAAATTGTCACTATTACTGTCGTTGACCGATTGAACATCGTGTGGTTGACGGATGCGTCGCGTCGCCATTTTAGAAGTAGACCGCACCGAATGGACAAATATTGTAGTAAATTCATGTTTCAGACAACTTTAATAATCTTTCGGGATAAATCATTATGATTTCTTCTGAATAATAAAAATAATCCATTGTCGTTATTACAAAATAAATGATTAAAACTGATGTGTCGTTCTAACGTCTTTGTCTGGCTGCACTGCGACCACTCTCCTACCCAGAGTTCAATGCGGCCAGCCTCTGCCACAGGCCAGAAAGATGTGACGTTTTTAGCACAGTCCATTCAATATAATGTACATACTTCTTAAATTTTGTTATGTTTGATGAGTCTACACATCTAATTAAACATCGTTGCTAAAATGGTTTAGTTTCACTGAGAATATATCGTGAAACGTGTACCACTATTTCGATTTGCGCAGCGATCCTTTGTTTACATGGGTTGTACGTCCCCACGTGCTGTCATCGAAGCTTTATGGAGAGCAAACGATGCAGCCAGTTTGAAATATGAATATGTATTGTCATAATATTTACGTTACAGTGTTAAACTGATATTAGATGTTATGCTAAGTCATCGCTGCGCCGGAGTGTGTACTGCGACCTACCACGTGCCAATCAGTCGGGGTTTCCTGGCATGAATTTAGTATAGACAAGTGATTGGCTGAAAATACCACACTCACACGAATTAAGCCAGCAGAAACACTTCAAATTCATATCGCAATATCAATATACTCATATGGTTAAAAATAACATGAAACACATAAGAATATAAATAAATAACATGCAGGAACTCAAGGGCTAGAATTATTTATTTTGACAAATGATTATTTTGATTAAATATGTATTCTGCCAAAATGGGAATGAAAGCATTTCAGTTCATTTCGTCTTCACTGATGGACATTTCACAGTAGCACGCATTCAGGTTACTCGTCTAGGTCGTCACTTTCAGAGCCATCAAAGTCCTCGTCTTCAGTGTCCGAATGGAAGATCTGGGCAATTTCTGGAGGTATAATGGAATCTGGAGTGTCCATATCTTCATCTTCTGAGTCAGACTCAACAAGTACGTCGGCGGCGTCCTGAATGATCTCAGCTCTTCGAAATCCGTTAACGATTGTTGACACACTGATCTTGTCCCATGCCTCTACAATCCACTTGCAAACTTCAGCATAAGTTGCTCTGCGTTGTCTTCCAGTCTTGGTGAAGGTGTGCTCTCCACTGCACATCCATCTCTCCCAAGAAGCTCTCAGGAGTGTCTTAAAACACCTATTCACACAAATATCCAGTGGCTGGAGCAGCTTGGTCATTCCACCGGGAATGACAAGAGGGATAGAGTTCACTGTCTTTAATTTTTGCTTAACCCCATCGGTGATGTGAGCCCTCATAGAATCCATACTAGTACTAGCTCGGAGCCTTAGACAGCTCGCCCACCTCGCCCTCACCTTATATACACGAGTATAAATATTTTGCGGCCATACGGCAACATGGCTAATGATGTGTTCAGTAAAGACTCACAATGACATATGTGGGGTGCAAATAAGATCACTTTTATTATACGTTTGATAGGAAAACAATGCATTTTTCATGAAATGGTTGCCATAGACAAATAAAGACTTGAATGCTTTTAAATCCTACTGGCATCATTAACTACTCTTCCGCAAAAGTACATTTGTGATAAGGCAACATTGTTTTATATATCTGCTTCTCCTCGCCGTAATTTGGCCGCCGACCTGAACATTTAAAAAAGTATTTTATTTCTGCCTACATGAACTCAAACTAAGTGCCAGGTGTTATTCTTCTTCTTTCTTTACCTTTCATTTAGCAATACAATATTATAATATATTAAAGACAAACAAAACACTTTGATGACCGATGTGTCTAACTTTGTGACAGGCACATCTGATTCAATCTACTTTTCTGTTGATGCTTTGATGCTACTTTGCTACTTTGCTCTGATGCTTTATCTTGTTATAGATTCAGAATCTGCAAATCTGACAACAAATGATTTTGCTTCATATATTTTAATTCCCGAGGTGTTTTGTATTTTTCCATGTGCAGATTTTGCTTTGCCAAACAGGACAGAAGCCAAGTTACAGGTGCTTTAATTTTTCTTTTCTGGTATAGATTTGAACAAATCAAGATATTATTCTTTTAGTTAAAAGGGCCGACCTACCGACCGACCGCCCCTAATTAAGATCTCAGTGGTTTCGTGCTGCCCAGTACACATGGCGTCACGCCTTGGCATTGTTGGGATGAAGTTTTGAAGGGACAGAGGCTATTATAACGAAAAGAATAGTAAAAGCAATCTTTCAAAAGTCTTGGTGAGGAGCGAGTTCTAGATTTTGACAATAGGAAATAATAATTATAATAACAATAAATAATGATAATAATCATGGATATTTATAGCACGCCACTATCCACCCACACAAAACATTGAGAGAATTATTTTTGCTGAGATAGAATTGAATAAATATACAATGCTTTACTTTCTTTGCCTCGCACAAACAGATAACAGCTAAGAAGAAAAAAACAAACAATTAGAGGGTAAATAAACTAAACGTGTTTTTTTGCACAAAACAAGCCTCTGCCAAATTACCTGTCAGGATTCCACAGACTGGCATCACCCAAGGTGTGTTAAAAATAGAAATGTACTGCAATTGTATTCAAACCCATTCTGATGCTAAAACTATGGTCTCTTATTCAATGAATACACTCCTGAACATCACATGACAGAAACGTGTTAAAAAGGTTACCTTTGAATGCAAATCGACTTTCAAAAACTTAGTAATAAAACACGTCTTATGTTTTGTCAGTATCTGACATACTAAACTCTCCCACTTCGATACGAAGTTTGAGAGCGTACAGCGAGCATACAGTTATCATGTTTGGTTCGTCTATATGGCACTGTCGCCATGACGACGTGACGCTGTCCACGTGGTACTGTCATCTAGCTGGCACAGCCCCAGCCGCCACAGTCGTTAGTTGTCGGGGACGTTCGCTTCTTGGTGCACGTGCAGCCCACATGGTGAGTCTTCAAGACTGGCTTGTACTTATAGAATCCATCTTGGCACCCTATCTCCTTCAGGACCCGGATGTTGGTTGACACTCGGGAACACTCGTTAACGTCGTTGCCGACACAAGCCGAACACTTGCAGACAGCCTGTGGGATGAAGGATGGGAAGTGTCCGGCGGGCAGCTCCGTGATGTTGTACCACCAGGGACAGATGGATCGGGAGAAGACTGGGGCGTTGGGGTCATCGCTCACCGAAGATGGGCACGATTGGCCTCCTGTCTGGCTGTCGTTCACCAGATGGTAGTTCAGCTCAGTGGCCATGGGCAGTTTGGAATTGTTGCCGGCCAGCTCAGACATTTGTAGATACATGGAAGCGTTGAGGTGTTGGTTGAGGTTCTCAAACAGGAGGCTGAGGTTGGCTGGAGGTTGGCAGTTGGCGACTTGTCTTCGTTCTCTGGTGTTGACGTTCTTCTGTGGAAGGCACCGAGCAGCGACTGCAGCACACAGGAACACGGCGAGGCGAAGAAGAAACATCCTTATCTTGTCGATGTTAGATGACAGAACAGTGTAGTTTTGGCAAGTTTGTACAAACAAGCAATACTTGTCTGGTCAAACACAGCACTGCCACACCACTTATATACATCCATTCTGGATTTTTCGAAAGACGATTCCGTGACTTAACGTTCAGAGAGGAAGCGGTAGAGACGTGTTCGAGTGACTGTCAATCAGGTTTAGCCGTGCCTCCAGTAAGCAATATTGAAGCGCTTCCTGTTTAAGCATTAGAGTGACTATTTTAGTGTTAGCTCTCACTGTAAAGTCTAGTTCAGTTCGTATACGTTTTATCTAAATAACATCTTCAGTGCAACTGGGGGTGGAGGGCGATGGGTGGTTGCGTTAGAAAGCCCACTGCTTTCATTGATGTCGATGAATTGACACATCTAAGAGAAGGTTTTACAACTGGTCGACCCTAGTTGTTCAAGCTGTGTTTCCTATCTGTTGATAAGATAAGTTGGGTTAAGCATGTATGATGTTTTACTGACACTGTTCTGGGTAATCAAGCGGGGGTCGTCTGATGATCAGTACATCATTCGATCGAATCTTCTTTCGAGGTCGTGTGAAGCCAATT